ATATAATTTTTCCTCCATATGACGATTAAAAGTCTAGCCTGCTATTTGATCTGCCTATCTATCAATGATAAGCTCTAGTTAAACTTCGCTTTTTTTTCTTTCATTGATTTTTGACGGAATCACAGTCCTACAATCAAGCCATCACTGATTTAAGTTTTGAAGAGGATTTTAATTTTTGTTTTAGATTTCTTAGTCTTATTAAATTTTTTTTATAAACTCTAGGATGAAAATGGTAATAAATTTTAATCAAAATACCCCATTAAAGGGACTGTGGGTTGTGGCGATTTTCTGACTATTTTACCCCGTTTAGAAGAAGAGCTCTATATAAAGATATGCAAATTTTAAAACTACAAGGTATGAATTTTTTTCTTTGCCAAATGATAATTGATAGCTTGAGATATCATATTTAAAAAAAAATTAAATCTTTTAGTTAATTTGTGATTGATTTTCTGACCCCCAGCTTCCTTAACATAAAACATTTTACAAAAAATTAAATACGCAATAAAAAATTAAAAAGTTATTTTTTTCTTTTTGTATTTTCAATAGAGCTATTCTTAAATATGGTATGTTCTTTGTTATTTCAGTTTTTCTGAATGTTCTTTTTCTAGATTACTGCATCAATAAAAAAATGATATTTGAAGTTTATTTTATAATAATAATATACCAAAAAATGAATTAAAACCATTCATTTTCCTTCCTTATTAATCAGCTTACTTTTTAAATTCATAAAAGCATGCCAAAAATAATGATTTATTAGGTTAAAAAATAAGTTTTGTTCTAGTAAAATCAAAAAGAACATTATTAAAATTTGTTTTACCGGGTATATACCATATTTTTCTATTCAATCAGATGTGTCTTCGCTTTCACAACTTTATCAAACATCCCTTAAATAGTTTGTTGCCTATTAACTGTCTTACCTAACACGAAAAAAATACAATAATTATTTTTATTTTCATGCAATAAGTATTTTTATCGCCTGGTTACCCATTAACTAGCTTATTTCCTCCTCCTTCGTTGAGTAAAAAGTTTATAAAACTGATTGTCGCGTGTTTCCACCTTTCTGACATTTTATAATTTGTTTGAAATTCTCAAAAGTATTATTTACAATGACATATATTTTTTAGCAGACACAAAATATAAAGATGAGTTCAAAAGAAATCGATTTTGTAAAGGGAGATAGTCCACATTTTCAGTAAATACCACTCAGAGTTAACAGAAAAATGGTCTGAAACGCCACTGGCTTCACCGCAGAAGTTTTATTTTAAAAATAAAGAATGTTCAATTACAAAGGATTTTTTTTTTAAAATCAAAGTACATTAAATCAAGAGAACGTGATGTAAACATATTTTCATACCTGAGTTAAGTTCTTTGCTTAAGAATTTATAAACCTGTCAGTATATTTCATGATGTTGAAACGATTTATCTGAAGAATATTTTAAAGTTTTGAATGAGTTATCTAAGAAATGAATTTCATTTTTGAAGATGAACTACGACGTTTCACGCCGGCAGATTTAATGAAGCGCTTTAGCGCTTCATGATGAATATGCCGGCGTGAAGTGTTGTAGTTCATATACCTCATAAATCTTCAAAAATTAAATTAAGTTCTTAAATTATCAGTATTTTTGATAAGTTGTCATAAATTTACAACATTTAACGGTCATTTACAATGCATAACAGTTTGCACTTTATTTTTTGATGTCAAGTGCGGTATTATGACGTAACAATGGAGATATTTATGCTTAATCATGGTAGTTCATGAGAAAATGAACTGCAGTTTATTTTGTAAAGAATTATAGGGAAAAACATTTATTGGAAATGTAAATATCGATGTGTAAATCATACAGATTTGTTGCGTAGGCTTAAATGTACTTCATGAAGCGCTTGCTGTCGCGAGGGCATAGTTCATGAAAATTTGTATATGTTTTAGACTGAGTGATTTACACATCAATATCTCACACAAAACTTTCCTTATAATTACATTATTCATGCATGAAAGATATATATATATATATATATATATATATATATATATATATATATATATATATATATATATATATATATATATATATATATATATATATATATATATATATATATATATATATATATATATATATATATATATATATATATATATATATATATATATATATATATATATATATATATATATATATATATATCAGGCTTGGGGTAATGCTAATTGTAATGGTAATGCATTGCAATGCATTACATGATCTCAAAGTAATGCTAGTAATGTGTAATGCCCAAAAATTTGCATTACATGTAATGGTAATGTAATGCATTACTTCATAAAATCCAGTGTAATCCTGGCATTACATAGCATTACACAGCATTATTTTGTAAAATAAGTACCCTTTTTAAGAAATTGAAATGGAATTGGATGATGGAAATTATTGTTGAGGTTATTTATTTATTTTTTTATTCTTTTTTTGGCAAATGATGCTATTGAATAAAAATGTTAAGTTACCTATTTAGATAACATTTGTATATCTATTTAAATACACCTTTTATTCTTTTGAAAGTACACCTACCTTACAATTAAGTTTTTAAATTTATTTCAGATAAGAATTATATAGAATAGTTTTAAAAGATTTTTTTTAACAAGATCACATATGAGATACACCAATTAATGTACACCGTAAACTGATTATTGGTTCCTTTAAGGCTTTTGAAAAGCTAGAGTGTCATCAAAACACACTAGGACTCTGGTTTATGTAACAATTAAAAAAATGCATTGTTTGGAGAAGTGCTCCAAATTACCAGTCCTTTTCTCCTGACTGTGTTTATAAAAGCATTAATTGTGCTGATCGATTTACCTTGTACTGGCCATGAAAAATTCATTGTACCAAAGAAAATAGAAGCCATGCAGGTATTCCCTGCTTCACTGTGATTCACAGATCAAAATGTACACCCTGTCTACTTTTCAAAAAGTTTGTCAATGCATTTTTTTTATAAGGTACTAATCAAAATAGCCTATATGCTTTATTATAAATTAGATGTTTAAGGCAGGGGTTAACAGTGGTTAAAGTTCCCAAAAAGTTATATTACTTCATGACTTCAATAATAACACAAAAAATGGATATTGAACATGTGTTATAAAACCGACAATTCAGAACTTTGACCTTTCGTTGATTGTAAGTTAGTGACATTGTATTTATATACAAAAACTTGAAATCAAATTTGAGTTATCATTTATCATGTTTAGTTTTGAAGGGGGTGGATACATACTTATGACAAAAAAAAAAACCTTGCAAAGTATTCTGAAAATTCTTTTTAATACCCCCCAAAAGTAATGGTAATGGTAATGCATTACTTTACTAAGGTAATGGTAATGTAATGCATTACTTTAAGAAAATAGAGTAATGGTAATGGTAATTTAATGCCCAAATTGTTGAAGTAATGGTAATGGTAATGCATTACTTTCAATGTAATTCGCCCCAAGCCTGATATATATATATATATATATATATATATATATATATATATATATATATATATATATATATATATATATATATATATATATATATATATATATATATATATATATATATATATATATATATATATATATATATATATATATATATATATATATATATATCGTTGCATTTTTACTAAAGTCGCTGTAGCCTCATTGTAACGTCACGTAAGCACAAGTTTCTACGCGTGAGTATACACGAAAATGATATTCAAATCAATTTCACAGTTGGCTTAGTAGAAAAACACAGCGAATTTAAATATTAGATTTTTAAATATGGAGAAGAACATCTGAGATTTTTAAAATAGGCACCTTAAAACAAGCTCTCATTTATGTTATTATTTCCTTTATCTTATTTTCACAACTAAATTATTGCGACCTAATTATATACAGCAGTTATTGGTTAGAGTGGAATAAAATCAATATAATTGCTTTCAGTTAAATTGAATAAATAAATATTGCAATCGGTTTAATATACAAATAAAAATCGTTAACCTATTTTTGAATATTAATTAAAATTTTGTTAAAAGATTTTAATTAAAACAGAGTTTCATTTTGATATTGGTAAAATGCCAGATTTATCAAAATATTGTTAATTTTGGGAATATTGCAAAACATATATGCATAGGGGTAGGATATATTTATTTCGAATAAGTAATGATAATAATATGTCACTTATAATTTGATGCCATTATTTGGATTCTGTATAGTATCAAAACTGACAGGTTTTAATTCAAAATAAGATACTGGGTTAATATCGATCTATGAAATATCTTGTTTTTTAAATAAGCAAATGGATTTTTTTTCATTCAATTCAATAGCACAGCTTACATCTTTATTATTACCTTCAGTTTTAACAGTGCACTTTAATACAGTCAATGAATAAAACAAGCTGTTAGGATAGTCACTGAAATATTCTAAATAAATTCACGAGTTCAGCGAACGGAAATCATTATTTTTTCGCCGGACAAATGAATTTTGAATTGTTGGGGGAATTAGTAGACCAACAATCAAATATCATGATCGCCTGCATGGCGCAGTGGTTAGTGGGTTTGCACTAATATAACAGAATAAATAATTGATCCTTATGGTGCAGATTCTTATCCCACAATTTCACTTGTAGACTTTTGTCTACTTTGGCTAAATAAAGACACTTCCGCCCTACTCACAGGTGGGCGTATTTGAAATTTGAGAAAATTTTGTATATATAAGGGTGGAAAGAACATGGGGCGAAATAACACATTATACTGTACAATCTTTTTCCTATGACTAGCTTATCTCATATTTCTATATACGTTGTAATGATAAGTTTGTACGATTAAGACTTGATTAATTTGGCGTAATTTTTTTTTACAATGAGGTAAGTGTTCAACCTGAAATATGTAACTTTAGTTTCGGAAAAGTTTCAAAAGAAGCACGATTTATTCATTCGAAACAGATCTAATAAATCGTCTTAAAAGCACAGGCTGTTTTTTCTACATGTAAATAATGTATATTTTATTTCAGTGAATTGCATACGTCTGCCGTTTATAAGTGAATGGATAGACATGAAAGCCATTTCTGGCACAAGTCCAATAACAGTGTCACATCCATTCAACGAAATTCCCGCCAAAGTGGATGTTCAGGTCAAGGTCACCGAAAATGGAAAGGAATATATTTTTCCGGGATTGGGTTCAATACAAAGAGACAACGACATCAACACACCGTATGGGGGCGTGGCTTACACGTATAACGAGACCAGTGTTCTCTTAATTGTTCCCAAAGGAAAAAATATCGGCAGAGTAATTTATACAGGTACGGGTCACATACATGGGCGGGCGTAATCTTCACACCTTCCAGTAGTTATGCCTTTTTACAATTAACATATATTATGTACTATTAATCAATCGGTATACACCACGGGTTAACAAACCAGTCAATGTAGCGGTAATGTATACTTTTAATGTCATGGTAATGAAATCTTTTTTCTAGCGGTGGTTAGTATATGTTGCGGTAATGAATTTTCGATTGATTGATTGATTGTTTATTGTTTAACATCCCTCTCGAGAATTTTTCACTCATATGGAGACGTTAACGTATGCCGGTGAAGGGCTTCAAATTTTGACCTTTACTCGGCACTCAGGGCCATTGAGCAGTGAGGGATCTTTATCGTGCCAACGCCTGCCGCTGACAGGGGGCCTCGGTTTTTATGGTCTCATCCGAAGGACCCGCAACTTTCACTTAAAAGTGCCGAGTGCATGGCGAAGGAACAGTTGCTTCCCATGTTATCAACTGGGTCATAAGATAAACTGAATGAATTTTTTTTAAAATCTAAATATATAAATATAATACATAAATAAAAATGTTCTGTCATTTCTCTAAAACATGCAATTGACGTATTTTAGTTGAATTTGAGGATGTATTATTGGGTTACAATCATATACATGTAACATGTTTAAAATAACAGTTTTGATTTTCTTGATTGTACGAATGTTATTCATAGGCGTCGGAACTGTGGGTTTTTTGGTTAGGTGGTGAGGGGGGGGGGGCTTACCATCCCCTCCATTTTTGGCAAATATGTACATAATATAGGCATTGAAAATTGTGGTTTAAATTTTTGTTGGATTAGCCCCAATCCCCTTTCAATTTGCTTCTATGTTAACTTCTTATATCATAGATTACGTGTACAATATAAGGACAATTTTCCATCATAAAATTAGACTGTGTTGAAATTTTAGATATATAAATAAGTTTGAAAATTCAAATGACTTTCCATGCCTACTCATCTCGCTTAAAACTTTCCATATAAGTGTGAGTAGTAATATTTTGGCAATGCTCTTGAGAATAAGACTAAGAAATCTTACACCTTCTTTCTCATAAGTTTAAAAAACGCCAATAATTTACATTTTTTATTGCTGCATGAATACATTAGGAAAATACAGGATTGTAACGCAAGATATATGTCCATATCGAGATATTATTTGACAGGGATCAAATTTCATCCACAGGTGGTTTGTCTTATAACGGAGTGTTCGATGGGTCTTTCATTTCGGCCAAAGTTCGTGTCAGAGTTTGGCGATTATTTGACTGGCCAAAACCAGACTTTGTACATAACTGTAACCTTAGCATATCGACAGGTAATTAGTTAATTGATACATTATTAACTGAAAACCCGTTATGAAAAAGTTGATATCTTAGAATAACTTGAATTAGTGCAGTTTTATTTCTTAAGACTTGGCAATTGCTTTAATTGAAGAACTAATGATCTTTTATAACAAACTTGCATAAACTTTCAAAGTCAAATGGGTAAATCTTATTCTACAAGCATGCATGAGTATGCATGAGTACACATACTTCGCATATATCAATTACTAATTTTGTCAGGAAACATATTTTAAAATAAAGAAAAAAAGTATTTAAAAAAGTTTTATTTGGAGGAAATTTAATTTTTAAAAAGAATTAACTTTAGGAAATGAAATTTAGAGAGAAAATGAGTCAAGCCTTGTCTTTTCAATAGCTACCATAATTTAATCTCTATGATAATTCTATAAACTATCTGTTTTGTATACATTTAGCTGAACCATATAAACTGGTGACGCATTCTTTGAGAAGACAGCCTGATTTTGTAACAGTACAGGTGATGTTGAATGATGGCTTTGTTTCTGAAGGACAAGGTATATGTTGCTTTGAGAATACATTATAGACATTTCGAAAGTAGAAATCCGTCTGTCTGTCTTTTTGTCTCTCTCTCCCTCTCTTTCTGAATTATTTGCAATTCAAATTAGCCATTGTAGCATTTTCTTGACAATGACACATTTTCACTTACTTTGTTAGGGAGGCTGGGGGCAACAAACTATTTGACAGATATTACTTATTTCTTTTTTAGATATGATATCTCAAGCTGCAACTAACATTTTGCTATGAAAAAATTCATACATTTTAGTTTTAAAATTTGATCACTTTTGTCTATCTTTATATAAAGCTCTTCTTCTAAAGTGAAACATATAGAGATAACGAACAGTATTCAAGATCAAAAGTCCATAAAAATTACAAATTAGGAGCAGAGCAAACATGGACCTCCAGAGGCGGGATCAGGTGCCATGGAGTAGTGAGCAGCCCCTGCCAACCGGTCACACCCACCATGTGCTCCTTGTCATGACATTAAAGTAACTGAAAATTCCGCCGTCAAATCAGTGTATTAAAAATAGACTAACAATTAGGACAGTTTATGAAAAACGTCAGTCAGCATTTGACTCAATGATAAATTGTATTTGCTCACAAGGCAGATCAATTTAGTCTAAAAATGGCCACAACCAAAAAACCTTCTTAACATCTATCCTTGCTTCTTTTGATAAATAAATTAAAAATCATATGAGGGAATATATATATATATATATTTTTTTACATTTTACTCCCTTGTACAACAGGTGTCACAACCGTCACGGAGGATGACTCTGGAACTAACCATGTCTGTGGTGTTTTGTTTGGAATATCAACAACCTCAATTACATTATGGGTTCCGAGTAAAAATAGTAAATATGGTTTGTTGTTGAAAACGTGAACATTTCATTGGAAAAAAATTTCAAATACACATGGTACAGATAACATATAATAGCTATAAACAAGTTGTGCATGCTATTAAAGGAATGAAGCTTATTTCAACTTATATTATATGATATAAGATAACTTGGAGCAGTTTACGCTTTATAAACCGCGCTTCGTTCATTATAATTTAATTTCTGTGTAGACAATTAGACAATTTTCCACCCAGAATAAGGCTTCGCATTGATTAAATTTTAAAAGTAACGCCAAGCGGATTAATACGTTTTCTGACGTAATTCATTGTGACGTAGGCAAGTTATGTTAAATAAAATGGATACAATCTTTTATGCAATCGAATGAGGTGTAACTATTAAAATTAAATTATTGTACTACATCTGTTAAATTAATTAATTGCTTATTAATTAACATAATTGTATAGTGTACAGATATTTTGTTATATCGCCTATTTGAGAATTTTTTACTCAGATATATAACTTCACCGTAAACTGATAAATGGCTTCGAATTTTCAACTTTTCTCGGTATTTAGGGCTATTAAGCACTGTTGGATATTTACCCAAAGCCTAACGAAGCATGAAAGTTTTAAAAATCTACAATGCTTACTTCGAAATGCAGAGTGCTTGGATAAAGATATATTGCCATCTTATTCATTGACTTCGATTGAGTTAACACGACTGTCATTTAGTCTTGTCTGTTATTTTACGTCTCTATGGAAAATATTTCACTCACATGGTAGCGCCACCACTTGCCGATGGAGACTGGCAAATTTATACCTATACTCGGCACTTACGTCCATTAAGCATTAAGAGATCATTTTCGAGCCAACATCTTAATATGCGACACAGGACCTAAAGCTTAGTTTACATTGTTTATATGGTTTTATCCGAATAACCCGTTTCCACGTCCCGAAGTGGATTCGAACCTGAGACCTGAGGATAAGCTCTTTCCGTCAATTGAATAATACATATGGCAAAATCGAACAGAATTCCAGCTAAAAAGTCCATTCCATTTTAACAAATCAGGATAAAGAGCAAACACGGACCTCTAAAACACCAGTGGTTGGATCAGGTGACATGGAGGATTGAACATCCACGTGCCGACATGTCACACCCACAGTGTGCTCCTTGTCATGGTCGGGAAATAACGAAATAATCCGTAAAAAAATTCAGTGTATAAATAATAGCCTTACATATAGCATTAAAAATCAGTCAGCATTTGATTGAATGATGAATTCACAATATATATATATTATGCATTATAATCAGTAGTTCACTCAATTTAATAGGGGACTATGTAATATGCTACAATGATGGATGGGGGGATATAGCAAGGATGTATGATTCTGCACTGGTCGTCATCAGAGCATGGGTACTATCTTCTGCTGACGTTGTCCAACGGGAAACATTTCCTTACTCACGTGGGGATGTTTTTAAAGGAACAATCCCATTAATGTGTAACCTCGATCCCGATAGCCACATGGTCATTGTTGAGGTATAGTTACATTGTTGTATGTTCAATATTTACTCTCAAAAACCTGAAAATACATATAATGACGAAGGACAAGCTAGATAGGGTAAGACCCCTTTTTGGCCCCTGAGTTTGAATGTCTTTCAGAATGGCAACAGTAAATAAAAGTAAACCTGTTGTCACCCCCACAAAATGAGTATTGGTTCTAAGTTTTGAAATGCACAGAGGTCACGGCGTGGTCAGAAAATAAGTCATTTTTCGAATTTTCTCAGTTTTATGCAAATTTTCATCGATTTTACAGACATTTTGTTTCGGAAAACATAGAAGACAAGCTTGCCTATCTACATATATATTTTATAAACTAATGTCGGATGCAGCTCATGTGTAAAAACTCAGATAGGCAAGCGTGTGCTCTATGTTTTCCGAAGAGAAAAGTATCTCAATTAATTGTATTGAAATTCTACCATTCTCAAATTGAAGAAATTTGGAAAAATGTTCTACTTGTGAACCCTCTAGTGGTTTTCATGTAAGTTTTGAATCCAAATTAGTGCTGGTTTTAAAGCTAGCATTATTTTAAGTTCTTAACTACATGTACAATGTACAAACTATCACAATTTTACCATTGTTCTGATTTTTACATCAAATGAGGGACCAGATTTTATTTGATCAGTACCCTATCTTGTCCTTTTGAGGATATCATATATCTTTGACCGACAACTGCCTTCAGTGTAGAGATCCGTTGGTGACATAACAATTTTGCTGTCCATGGATATATATTTGTATGCCATATACTCATAATTTAACTTTTGCCTCCAATTTCTATGTTTCTATGTTATATCTTTAGATTAAAGATGCTACGATAAGTGATGGGAAAGTGTTTTATGCCGCCGGTACAGCAAGTTTAGGAAATATAAATGACCCATTTGGAGGCGTTGTCTTTGGTTATAACCAGACCGACGTGCTATTGTGGACGCCATCTGTTACAAATGGTCATCTTATCTACGTGGATGGAATTTGGGGAGATGGTACTGAAACAATGGAAATTAATACTGTCCAAATATCTGTGACTATTGTGTCTACTAGCAATTCAGGTAAATCCTTAATATGTAGAAATCTACACATTTTGTGACAAAGAATATTCTTGAAGTTTATTATGTAAAATAATGATCCCTTGTAGTAAAGTATGAAGCCAAAACAATAACTTTTAATGGTAAATACGATAAAAGAAAAAAAAACTTTCTGTTCGTTAATTTAAAAACACGTCAATAAAGTTTAATGAAATACAAAAATGTCTGTCATCTCCGAATTTAAATTGGTTCTAAATGACATACAAGAAAAAAATCAATACTTGTAACTATTAAATTCCAACGTCAAAACAATCAATGCAAAATGAATTTTTGATAACATGCGTTCTTATGTTAATATTTTTCATTTCATGCATACCATTTTAAAGTGAACAATTTCACTGCAATCAACATTGACGATTTGGTGCAAGACCTAACCGTTTCTAAGAAAACAACAAGTACACATGTACGAAGCCTCACCAGTGCCTATGATCCGCGCCCCAGCGCTAAGGCAATGGGAGCAGTTGGTATAACTGTGCTGTGTCTTGTACTCGGATTAATTATTTTAGCAGACTGTGATCTTTTAGTTCGAAAGTTTTGTTTGAAAAACGACAGAAATTGAAATAAATATTTATAAAATCCAAAAGATGAAGATATTGTTAGGATAATTCTTCTTGGTTCTATAATCTAGAATTCTTTATGATTCTGTAAAAAAAAACAGATTGTGTTTTTCGTCAGCAGTTTTATGAAAAACATGATAAAAACAATATTTATATGAAAAAGTTTGCTTTTCGGCGAAAAAAAAATAATTAAAGATAAGTAAAAAGGTACCTATGACTCATAACATATTTAGCAAGTAAATTTAAATGAAATTGATTAAGGTATCACAATAAATTGAAATCGAAACGTTATCTAATAAAAAACAAAAGTATTGAAACGAAAGTCCTAACAATATTGTCAAATGCTACTTGCAAAAAATGGCTGCAAGGATATTAAAAGTTTAATGATATATTATTATAAATCGTCCAATAGTCATTTTTTTTAAATTAAGACTCTGTAATATTTTCCCCTATTACTTTTCAAATTTATTTGTAATCATCTGTTGAAAAACAGTATTAGATACAATTTTGGATGTTGTAAAGAATGACGGTTTTGGCGCTCCATGACCGCAATAGTCTACTTTTTGATCAGATATTATTAATCTTATAATCGTATTTAAATATTATTTTCACTTTCAATCATATAGATATCTCAATTTTTTTTTTATCTGACAACTTTTCATTTCTGCGTCTTTAGACATAAAATAAACTTATGCTATCCTTTGTCAAGAATTCCTAGTCACGTTTCGTGGTCTGATTGTAAAAAAAAAGGGAAATGACATGCACAGATGTAAATGACAAAAAATAGTAAATAATGAATAGTAAATAAACAAATAGAAATTTAATCACACTCACAAACCATTTTATGTTGGTCTTTCTCCGAAACGCAAATATTGACAATGAAATTGAACTACATTGTATTGGCAAAGTAATTGATAGAGACGTCATTCGGATTGATTGAACAATGAAAAATTTCAATTCTTCAAAATCTTCAGAGAAATCATAAGTATATATATGTATGTCTGTCCTAGAATCATTTTGAAATAAAGCATTATTATTTGTGTATTAATAAAATGTCAATCGTTTCCAGGTTAATGCCTTTGATTTTGTGTACTTAGTTGATTTTTTTCAATAGTTTTTTTATGTAACATTGCTTGCTTGTCAAACGTTTGTTAATATATCGTGAAAAATAAAATAATTCATTGTAAGACGTCTTTGAACGTTTTGACTATTCTTCGTCGTTGATGGATTGTAATTAACAACCAAAATTAAGATAATTAAAAGCTTTATTGACATAAATTGAAGAAAGAAACAATTTCAATTTTAAAAACCCTTAACCACCAACAGAACAATTTATTTATTAGAATTTATTTCCCAAAATCATGGAATTGCTTAGAAGTCCTTTATTTTTTTATGGAAGTACTTAGGAGCACAATTTTAATGGGAATTCTTTCAAAACACAAAAAGGAATAAGAAATTATTTTGACCCCTTAAAATTAATTTCATATTCTTATGAAGCAGAATAACTATTTAAAAACATTTATCTAGGATTAAAACCTTTATTGTTGACTTCAGCTCAACATTATTATTCATAATGACAATTTGTTGTTTATTTAGTTTTAAGATATATTTTACACAGTGAATTGAATCGAACAATTGTTGTTTCGAGTCCTATGTCGACTTTGCCGATAGCGAGCAACAGTCCAGCTCAAAAGTCCATTTATAGTAAAAATATACACCATTCACTAGTTGGTGGTTGAATGTTTTAGAAGTGGGACTGAATAGCAGAAATCTGTTGTTTTATTTTTCAGTAGAAATTCAGTCACAATTCAGTTAACTGAATTGCGTCATGGTTTAAAGGGGCCTGGACACAGTTTTAACCAAAATTTTTCATTTCATTTCTTTATGTTTACAAATTCTTAACTAAGGTATTTCTAATGATCATAAATATAATGAATTTCATTTGTCGAGATAGAATTAAGACAGATTTAGAGCTCCCAACCTTTGCTATGAGAAGAAGGCTGTGCCATGTTTTTGATTACATAGGTTAAACATGCTGATATGTGTTTGTTCAAAGCAATTTTTTTCAATAAAGAAGTTAATTTTAAATACAATTAGATATTTTCTAATGATTTGGTGAATCTTGTTTTGTTATAAACTTGACATTTTCTAAATATAAACAAAAACAAGGCACGGGCCTTGTTTACATTATGAAAAATTCCAAGTCCTGTATTTCCTTTGTAAATCAACAAATGGTGTTCAAATTGTTGCTGATCAATAGAATTGCCTTAGTTAGAAATTATTAACATCAAAATTGGTAAAAATAAAAAAATCAGTTGAAACTGTGTCCTTGCCGCTTTAATAAGTAAAATAATTGGGTTTCACCGCGTAATTTAGAATTCTTAAAAAATTTCACAAAAATGGGATTTGAAGTGAAAAATATTTGTACAGATTAAAAAGGATGGATTCAGAGATGAAAATCGTAGAGGGTTTATATTACGATTTCTTTACATTCTAGAAATTTATTATTTGCATCATTTTCAAAGAAATTAAACCATAAAATATATACCAATCCAGACATTCATTTTTGTTTGTATCGTCTAACCTTAGAATAATCAACATAATTCTGTGTATTTTTATAATTTCAAAGAAAGAGGCGCCATAGTGACTGCAGAACCTTTTAACGGTTTTTAACATCCTTTTTTTTTCAATTTCCATAATGCTAGAAAATCTCCTTCATGGATTGTTTTGTCGCAGCAAGATAAAAGAATGGGATAGACATAACTTTAAACACATTGTTTTGATTATCTAAATGTGGAAATATTCTTCTTTAATCTACCTTTTTTGTAAATAAGTGCTTTTGTGTAATTGAAATGCATGCATTTTCAAGCATTTTCATCTACCCCAAACACATAAATGTAAAATTTATTAATTTATTTAAAATAATATTTCAAGCTCGGTTTTCCCTGTCGTTTAATAATTGTTCCACTTTTGTAAGCATATGGAATATTTTTCAGAAGATTCGCTATCCTAAATGGATTTTTATTAATAATTCAGTAATTTGAAATGAAACAAATTACATCTTAATTACTTTCCTTTGTCAACAATAGATACTGTGTCTCTCTCACTAATTATTTCAACTACAAAATGTTTGAGATAAAAAAAAATAATATATTTTAACCCAATTTTTTTCTTTGATATGAGGTCATCAATCAATAAATTCTACTTCCATAGAGAGCAAATTAAATAAGGATGTCATTTCATGAAATTTAATTATTTTAATATACCTATTAAAATGGTTTAATCAGATTGATTTGAGATCATACATTCGAATTTTATTTCAATTTTAAAGATCTCCTTTTAAAACGATTATTCATGAATTTTATTTTTTTTCTTTTCAAGTACAAAGTGAATATTAGTGACACCCGACAATTTTAACTAGGCAAGAAGCAGAGTAAATTACAATTTAAAGTAGAAAACAGGCCCAATTCTCATAAGTTCTAATCCCATGGCTCCTTTCTGTCAGCAATTTATCCTACTGCATAACAGCGACAGACCTAGTATTAAACAAATATTAAGTTTTTTAAAGAGTACATTTATGTAAAGTTCCAGATCATTGACTGGCGAGATTTTTTTCAATACCCATCATGAAAAAAGAAGCTTAATCTGGCAAAGGTATGATAAGAATGATAAAAGATTGTCAATTTACTCACAAGACTTTTGCTGATGGAAAAGTGACTCTGCATATAAAAACTTAGTTAAAGAAACGGTTGAATATATATATATATATATATATATATATATATATATATATATATATATATATATATATATATATATATATATATATATATATATATATATATATATATATATATATATATATATATATATATATATATTACATTACATTATACATGTATATATATAATGTCTATGAGGTCTTCAGGTATCCGGCCCATATAAGAACTAAATCTAAATTTTCTAACCTTAAATATCATTTCTTTATAAAACACACAAGGCGGGTGTGACCGGTCAGCAGGGGATGCTCCATGGCACCTGATCCCACCTCTGATGTTTTGGAGGTCAGTGTTTGCTCTGCTCCTATTTTGTATTATCTCCATATCCTGATATTAATTTAGAGCAATTTAGAATAGAAAAGGATTTAACAAGAGAAAATTTCAAAAAAAATTTTAACCTAGGCAGTTATTAGTCATTAAAATTGCATTGAACAGGTCGGAGAGAATACTCGAGATCGGGTATTATCCGTGAAATCGCGTTTAATACTCGATATTAGGGTATCGTTGAATCCGCGAAATCGGGTATAGGAGGTGTAATCACCTTATAAAACTTAAACAATGGCATGGCGCATGTTGCCGAGTGAACTTTCATCTAGATACATATGTTTTCTAAAGGTATCAGAAGCCAAGTAAGAATTTGGGCGTCAAGATTAATGCGCTCGAGACAACAAATACCCGTGGAGCTCAGAACATTTCATGATCTGCACACAAAAAGGCGTTCGATTTGCTTTATATTTTTCCTTATGTTAAAAGTATATGCATCTTCCTAATGTTTATTCTCAACACAACAGAATTTTAAAGTATCAGAATTCGGGAATTTATAATAATTCCACATCAACACGACAAACATGAACAATTTGTAAATAAATCATATTATACAGAAACACATTTCACACACAAGATATGATGCCATGTATAAGCAAGGGATTGTCTATCGTATCTAATTATGCGTCATTAATTACTTTCACATTCATCTTGTGCATAAAATCAAATTTATTGATGAAAGTATAAATAATGTAATGATAAAAATGTCTAAAATTTCGGCTAAAAGAACCCTCTTTCTTTTTTTCTTTGAATTTTTTTTTTATTTATCAATCATACATATTTGCAGAATATGTCTTCAATATTTTAGCAGAGACAGTGATAGTTTCAGGAATACAGCTTATGAGAGGACATAACTGTTGATCGTTTAATTTCGCTAAGTCATCAATATTTTACCATTTCTTGGCGTCTTCAAGGGGGGAGGGGGGCTAAAGGCTTCTTGACCACCTCTGACAA